GAAGTGGTGATAGTAGTTATTTTGTTTTATCCCATAATTCAATAAGAAGTATTCAGCATTTCACCATTAAGAATGCTGTTGGTTATAGGTTTTTTATAGATTCCTTTATCTAGATTAAGGAAATTCTCTTTTATTCCTACTTTATTGGCAAATCTTATGAATGGGTGTTGAATTTTGTCATATGCTCTTTCTGCATCTATTAAGATGATATATTGGTTTTCTCTTTCATTTGGAGAATGTATGTGTTCAGCTGATTTTATTTCCTGTTGTTAAACAACCTTTGTATTTCTGGAGTGAATCTCAGTTAATGATATATTATTCTGCATGTTATGATATATAGGAGATATATATCTGATATACATGTATAGAGAGAGCTAGATTTAATTTATAAATATTTTGTTAAAGATTTTGCATCTATGTTCATAAGGGATATTAGTCTATAGTTTTTTTTCTTATGTTTGTCATGTTTTGGTATGAGGGTTATGCTGGCCTTATAAAATGAAATGGGAAGTGTTCCCTCTTCTATTTTTCAAAAGAGGCTTTGCAAGATTTGTTATTATTTCTTCTTTAAATGTTTGCTAGAATTCACCAGTGAAGCCATTTAGGCATGGGATTTTCTTTGTGGAAAGATTTTTAATTGCAGTTGCAATTTTTTGTTATGTATAAGGCTCTTTATATTCTGTTTTTTTTTCTTGTGTCAGTGGTATTTTTTACTTTGTTTTGTTTTTTAAGAGATGAAGTATCCACTCTGTAATCCAGGCTCAAGTGCAGTGGCATGATAATAGCTCACTGCAACCTCAAACTGGGCTCAAGAGATACTCCCACTTCAGCCTTTCAAGTAGCTAGGGCTGCAGGCACACACCATGCTCAGCTAATTTGTTTTTGTGTAGATGGAGTCTTACAGTGTTGTCAAGATTGGTCTTCAGCACCATTTTATCTCAATTTTCGTATCTGTTGGCATAAAGTTATTTATACTAAAATCTCTTTATTAGCTGTTTTACTTAATACACCCTTATTTAATGTAGTTATTTATTTGGGTTTAAGTCTACATTTTGCATTTTGCTTTTTTGTTTTCTATTTGTCAAAGTCCTTCCTTATTTCTTTATTCCTCCTTTCTTGCCTTCTTTTGAATTAATCAAATATGTTTTATTATTCTACTTCTCTACCCTCAGCTTTTTAGTTACATTCTTATCACTGATAATTCTTTAATTGCCCTATGCAAATATGCATTTTGGACTTATTAAAATCTACCTTAAATAAGTGCTTTAACCACTCCCCAAATATGTAAAACTCTTACCAAAGTTTGGCTCCATTTACTCTCCACCTTTACCCTCTGTGCTATTGCTGTGATATAACATATTAATACATATATTATAAATGACACAAGCCAGTTTTATTGTTTTAAATAATCAGTGTCCTTTTGTATCAGCTCACGTCTTTACCTTTTCTTGTGTTCTTCATTCCTTCCTGTAGTTTCATGTTTTCATCTGAAATTACTTTCCTTCAGCCTGAAGAACTTCCTTTTCATTTCCTATAGTTAGGTCTGCTGGTGACAGATTCTGTTAGCTTTGATTATCTGAAAATCTCTTTGTTTTACCTTTATTTCTGAAGGATATTTTCACTGGGTATATAATTCTTTGATAGTTTGTTTCTTTAAGCCCTGTAAGGATACTATTCTATTGCTTCTTGCTTGCCCAGTTTCATTAAACAGCCAGCTATCAGTCTTATTGCTGCTCCTGTAAGCGTAATGCTTCTTTTTTCTCTGACTGCTTTTTAAAATGTATCTTTGTCTTTCCTCCCTGTCTTTTATTTCATCTGTATTTCATCTTTTTTATTTTCAGCAGTTTGACAATTATGTGTTTTGGTATAGTTTTCTTTGTATTTTTCCTGCTATGGATTGCTGAATCCATAAGTATCCTGAATCTGTAGGTTGATGGTCTTTCATTAAAGTCTCAGCTGTTATCTTTTCATATATTGTTTTTTTTCATTCTATCTGTCTTTTCCCTCTGGGATTACAGCCACTCATATTTTGGACCTGTTGACTGTGTCTACTTACCTCTAATGCTCTAATACATTTTTCCATATTTTCTCACTGTGGGATACTTGGGATGTTTTCTATTTTTTTCATCAAGTTTATGAATCCCGTCTGTTGGCTCTCATCTGCCCTTACACTCATACAGTGAGTTCTTCCTAATATTGTATTTTTTAGTTATAAGATATCCATTTAATTTTTTATATAGATTTTTCTGAGGATACTATCTATTTTTTCTTACATTCTGTTTATATTTTCTTACATTTTAACGTCTTAGTTATGATTTTTTAAAATCTGTGTGTTCTATTATTTGGATAATATATGGGTCTTTTTCTGTTACCTGTATTTTCTCTTGATTACTGATCATACTGTCTTGACTCTGTTATATCTAATAATTTTTTTAGTATGCCAGACATTTTATATTAAAAGAACTACTGAGGCTCCAGCTGGTATCTTCCATGAGAAATAATTCTTTCTTTCCTCTGGTAGGCTAATGGCATAAGAACCTTATCACCTCAATCTAATTATGGGTTGAGTTAGACCACGTCTGGATTGTGCCTTGGTTTATGCTTGATGCCTATGGTTTATCCTTGTTTCTTTTTTTTTTTTTTTTTTTAATTTTTTTTTTAAGGTGGGGTTTCACCAAGATGGCCAGGCTGGTCTTGAACTCCTGACCTCAGGTGATCCACCCACCTCAGCCTCCCAAAGTGCTAGGATTACAGGTGTGAGCCACCATATCCTTGTTTCTTGGACACGGGCCCTCTTACGCTCTTGATTGAGAAACTAATTTCTATTTCCTTAGCCCTGAAACACTGCAGGAGATCGTCCTATCCTTGAGAGGTCTGGGGCTTAGTTTTATTACCTCTCACCCCTTATAGTTTCAAAATATGGCATATATCTTTAAGAGGAAATCAGCCATGTGTTTGAGGTATACCACCTACTTCTAGTGGAACCTTGTCCCCTAAAACCACAACATTATAGGAGCTTTTATTCTGCCTTTTAAAAGCTCTCAGTCTAGCTTTGAAGTTCCAGTTTGCTGGCTCAAAATTCAGGAAATACCCGATGAGACAAACTGGCCACATGCACGGGCTTCTTAAGTTTCCAGTTTGTCACAGCAGCTCTCTGATTTCTCTTTCCTCCAACAGAGCCCCTCACCACACCCCAAACATGATTCTTAGTTTATGCCAAATTAGCAGATACCCTCAGGAAAGAAAACAGTATCAGCTACCTCAAAGGCCATTGCCTGGAATTCCAGTTCATCTGATCCTCATGACAGCTCTGTGGTATCTTTTTAATAATTACTCTGACTTCTTCTAGTTGTTGCATTGTTAACATTGTACTACCACAACTATCCCTTCCTACCTGGAGGCCTAGGAAGCATTATCTTCTACTTGCCCTATATAATAGTTTATTAACTGGTCTCCCTAATTCTACCCTTGTCCCTCTCACAAAGCAGTTGGAGTCGTCCTTTTAAGTATATCCTGTCACTCCCCTGCTTAAAACCCTCCAGTGGCTTCCCTTTATATTTAGAGTAAGTTTAGTTCATTTTCACAGTCTGCAGCCCTACACAGTATTACTGTTACTCCCTCTCTAACCTAATTTCTCTCTACCTTCCCCTTTGTTCACTCAGTTAAAGCTCTACTGACCCCCTTTCCATTTTTCAAACACACTAACACGTTCCTGTCTCAGAATCTTTGCACTTATTATACCCTCTCACATCTTCATAAGGCTTATGTCTTTATCTCTTTAGGGAGTATTGTGTAAATGTCATCTCCTCAAAGAGGACTTCCCTTAAAATTCTGTTTTCTTAACCTACATTAGTTTTAATCATAGCACTTAGCACTACCTGACATTATATTGTATATTGTCTGATTTTTTAATATTCTCTCTCTCTCACGAGGAGGTAAGTTCTATGAGATTGGAGACTATGTCTACTTTGTCCACTGTTCTATCCCCAGGGCTTAGCACAGTATATAACTTATAGTAAGCGCTCAGTAACTATTTGTAGCATGAATTAGATGTCCCTTACCTCAAAAAATTCTCAGTTTAAGGAAAAAATGAATAATTGGAGTAAAATTAAGAAGTACTGTAACACAGGTTTCTACAGAATGCTTTAGGAGTAAAGAGAGGGTACTGACTTAGTTGGGACATGGTCAGAGAAAGCCTTAGTAAGGAGGTGGCCCTCGATCAAGTGTTAAAAACCAAATATTGATATGTGTCTCACAAAGAATAATAGAGAGCTCAACATATGGGACTACTAAAACATGGAGTTGAATGATAGGAAGTGACATCAGTCATAATGGGAGAGCAAGATAGGCAAAGTCACAAAAGTCCTTAGACATCAGGATAAAGAATTTAGACCTTACCTGAAAGATAATAAGGAGTAAAGGTTTTTATGAGCAAAGGTTTTTAAGGAGAGATGCTATCAGATTTATTTCCACGTGTTCCTGTACTCCTCACTGCAAGTAGTCAAACTAAAAATTCAAGTATATTGATGTAGAAAATCCCTGGCGTAGTTATCAGGGCTCAGTTTCAAAACAGAATTTCTTATCCCAACTCATTATGTAACCTGGGAAGGGCATTGTGTCCTTTTCTGAGCCTCAGACCTTCATTCTTAACAGGAGAGAATTACAGGTTTCTAAAAGCCTTTTCAACTCTGAGCCTATGATTCTATTAATATTTATGTACTTTAACTTTGACTTTGGTCACAATGCTTGTCCAAGATACCTGGGGGAAGAAAATTTAATATTTTTTTCTGCATCTGCCAGGAATAATTTAAAACCTCCAATTCTAACCTATCTAAATTCAATTTTCTTCAGAGATTTCCTAAACATTTAGGTCAAATGCCAGGAAACCAGCTTCTTGAAACAAAACTAGCTGAGCAGAAGTGGCAAGTCCTTTTTTACTTCTAGCTAGGATGAGAATGCAGGGGGCAGAGAGGGTGATAGAATGAGTCTTTTTCTTGCAGTTGTGATTCCAAAGAATCCCTATCCTGCGTCTGATGTGAATACTGAGAAGCCCAGCATCCACAGCAGCACCAAAACTGTCTTGGAACATCAACCAGGGCAGAGGGGGCGTAAACCAGGAAAGAAGCGGGGCCGGACATCCAAGACCCCAATTTCCCATCCCATCTCTGCCCCACCCAAGACAGCTGATTTGAAATTCCCAAAGAAGAGGGGTCCCAAACCTGGCAGCAAGGTAGGTAAAATGTGGGTTTCCCAGAAAGGGATAAGGGATTTTAAAGGGGTCATTCATCCATACCCATCTCTCTTGGAAAGGGGCATATCTAGCCCTCTTCTCCATCTTGTGTATGCTTATAAGAGGAATTTCCTAGATCGTCATCCCTACTTGCTACTTACCTGAGAATTGGTAATATTAAAGATAGGATGGTGGAGGATAGGAAACACATTTTAACCTTGCAAGTTACTCATATTCAAGGAGATTCTGGTCTAATGTACATGGAAAAAACTGCTCTTTGTTAACCTTTCCAAAGTAGATGCCCAGCATGTGGACAGAAAGCAAAAATTAACTCTGTAAATGTTTTTTTTTTCTTTTAATCAGCTTTTCCAGGCTGAATTTAAATATATTTTGTGTTATCTCTACCCCTTTAAAAAAAAAATTGAATACTTATTAAGTGTCAGACTGTGATTTTCACAAAACCCTAAGAGAGAGTGTTGTTATTTTATAGTAAATTGAGACTTACAGCTATAAAATGATTTTTCTAAGATCACATAGCTAGTAAATGGCAAAAGCTACAGAGATTGGTCCCTTATCTACTTCCAAGGTCACTGCTTCCCTGGAATATATTCACTGTTTCCCACATTTCCTGAGGGACACACCACTTCTAGTATTCTAGTATTGGAAAAGACAGCTGAGTCAGCTTCACTGAGCACTGTTATTGAAAGTACCACCTCTTAGTCATGGCCTGTTTTCCATGAGTATCTTTCCTAGCAAAGGCATTGATATGAAAAAAAAAAAAAAAAAAAAAAAAAAAAAAAAAAAAAAAGGCTTCTCTCAGCAGCTTCTCTAGGGCTCCTTTTAGCATCACCCCCTTCACTCACTTCTTAACTGTCAGGAGATACCTCTGAATCTCCTCCCTGAACTAGAATACCTGAGTTCCAGTATAGAAATGATAACCGATTGTCCCTGACCATTCCATCCCAGTCTCGTTAATTCCTCCCTAGAGTTAGTTTGTTTGCTGTTTGTTTTGCTTGTTTATTAGCTTCCACTGACTTCAGCCCTTATAGAATATAAGCTCCTCAAGGTCAAAAACCTAATCTTTCTCTTTTTTTTTCTCCTGCGGTACCTTATATCTCAGTCAGTCTCTTGGGAAATATTCAGAATATGCAAGATGGACAGGAGGCTGGGTGGGTGGCCGCATGGATGGATAATTTTAGTGATGATGTTACCAATCTCAGTTGTCTCTTATTTTTGGCTTCAGATTCTCAATATCACTTCCTGATCTTTCTGTGTAACAGATAATGCTCCTCATCATCTGTTACCACTAATCACTAACCCAGGTCTTGATTCATTTTTACCTTCATTACCCACCTCTCATTCTCCTGTTCTAGAGAAGAGACTAAAGGCCCTAAGGATGCCAAGGCCAGAGAAGCCATGCTTTTGATGATGTGAAAACATCTTGAGGACAGTCAGAAAAGGGAGAAAACGTATCTTGGGGGGCTCCAATCAGAACCAGAAAAAGTAAATGGAAACTCAAGCAGACAAGCTGTCTCAACATAAAAGGAACAGTTAAATCCCAAAATAAAAGTAATGAGCCCCTATAACTAGAGGTGTTTCATCAGGGACTGGATGACTCTGTGGATGGGATCTTTTGGGAGCGGGAATTGGGTAGATGGTTGGGTTAAGTGGCCTTTAAGATCATTCAAAACAGAAAAACTGATACTGTGATTGCCTCTGCTCTGCTCTCTCAGGAAGTTTTGAACATAGTAACCAAAGTCCTTTTTCTTTCCAACCATCTTGAAAGCAGTCATTCTCATCTTTTCCTGTATTTTATGTCCTAGCATTTGATACTCTTAATTCTCCTTCTTGTTCTTTTGCCTACCCCTACAAGTGTATATGCCTTCCACTTCACCTGTGTGCCTTATATCCCTTTTTGTTTGTTTTGTTTTGCTTTGATTTTTGAGGTGTGGTCTCACTCTGTCACCCAGGCTGAGTGCAGTGGCACAGTCATAGCTCACTGCAGCCTTGACCTTCTGGGCTCAAGCGATCCTCCCACCTCAACCTCCCAAGTAGCAGGGACTACAGGCATGTGCCACCATGCCCAGCTAATTTTGTTAATCTTTTGTAGTTATAGGGCCTTGCTATGTTGCCCAGGCTAGTCTGAAACTCCTGGACTCAAGCAGTTTTCCCACCTAGACCTCCCATAGTGCTGGGATTGCAAGCATGAGCCACCATACCATGACTGGCTTTATATCTCTTTTTGAAGCAGAGTAGTCTTATGGATAATGCATAAGCTTTAAAGTCAGACAAACTTAGGTTAACATATCTTCTTCATAGGTTGCCACCTGTGTGACTTTGGGAAGGCTTCTCTGGGTAAGACCTTGAGCCCGTTTTCTTACCTCTAAAATGAAAATGAGATAATGTATGAGTACATATAATATTGTAAATGTACCTATCTCAAATAGGTTTACATTATTGAGGCACCTAACCTACCATGCTTGTTCCTTTAGGGACCCCATGAAATCCTACCACCAGCTCACTGAAGTTGAAGTGGTATTTCCCTTCTTCCCTGACTTATTCATTACTTACTTGTATTTTCACTTTTAGCAATAACAAAAAGCATAAGCAAGTTCACTTTCAATGTGTGTTTTGAATTGTTCATGAGAGTTTGCGCGATTGCTTTTACAGGCAAGGCCATCTTACATATGCCTGCCGTCATCAGGGCTGTTTCTTCAGAGAACATACTCCTAGAAGGCAGACAGGTTGATATGGCTCCCAGCAGTTATCCCTACATAAAGCATTTAGTAAAAATGAATTTCTGGATCTCCATGATTGTTATGTTTTCCTTGCATTCAGAAAGGCTTTTAGCCAGGCATGGTGGCTTATGCCTGTAATCCATTAATACTTTGGGAGGCCAAGGTAGGAGGATCGCTTGAGCAGGAGAAATTTGAGACCAGCCTTTGCAATATAGTGACACCTGATCTCTACAAAAAACTTAGAAGTAAGCCATGCATGCTGGCACATACCTGTAGTCCCAGCTATTCAGGAGGCTGAGGTGGGAGAATTGCTTGAGCCTTGGAGGAGGAGGTTGCAGTGAGCCAGAACCATGCCATTGCACTCCAGCCTGGGCAACAGAGCAAGACTTTGTCTCAAAAAAGAAAAAAAAAGCTTTTAGAAAACTATTTCTTGGGGAAAAAGCCTTCTAAGATCCTTCTCCCCTAAAGACTACCCCGAACAACATGGGGGAAATAATAGATTTCTCTCAAATCATCTTTATTACTTCCTCTGTTATTGGTGATCTATACTGCATGCTTCATAAAAAATAATAATAATAAAATAAATTTATTTACACTTTTTTTATGCTGAGTACCATGCTAACAATGCTACTTTAGAACCAGACTTTCAAAGAGTTCCAGGTAAATAGGGATACTGGTATGTAAATATATAATGACAATACATTGAAAAATGCAACAGTTCAAAAAAAAGAGGTAACATAAAAGAGACAATGATTAGAGAAAAGCTAGAAAAGCTTCCTAGATAAACAAATTTGTAAAATAAATTTAAAAAGAAAGAGCATTTCAAATGGAAGAGACATCTTATCATTGTAAAGGTGTGAATCAGGTAAAATTGCAGGATTCTTAAAGAAGCAATATAGTTAGAGATTTACTAGAGTAGGAGGTTTAAGGGAAGGAATGGCAGGTAATGAGGTGAAGAGAGAGGCAGACGGGGTAAGGACATTTATAGAATTAGAAGTCATTTCTGTTTTATTGTTTGTTTGTTTCCATTTTAAAGAGAGAGAAATAAAGTACAAAATAATGTGAAACCAGACTTAAACCATAGCATATTTTGCTTTTGTCTGCCCAACTAATAAGGGAACTGGAACTTCATATGATAATATTGAATCTAATGTAAAAGTCAATACATTAAGCTTTGATCTTATGAAAGACCAGAATCTTGTACATAGATTCAGAAAATGTCTACTAAGTATCTTCTATAGATATATGTATAGCTTTAAGCCAGATGCTGTATAGAAAACAAAGATAAAATGCTATTCCATCCATAAATATATTTTTGCTTCATGAGTGAATTAAGTGCCAAGAATAGAAAATGAAAAGACCTGTCATGGGTAGCAAATTTTTTCCCATTCATTTTGACAGAGGAAACCTCGGACTTTGCTGAATCCACCACCCGCCTCACCAACAACCAGCACTCCTGAACCAGATACCAGCACTGTACCCCAAGACGCTGCCACCATCCCCAGCTCAGCCATGCATGCCCCCACAGGTAAGAGTAGATAACAGGACTACCTGCTCACAAGCCCCAGACCTACTGTCTGCACTTTCTCTTGTCTTACACCAGTAATTAGCACCTTTCCATTTGTAAACCTAGGCAAAATCTGTCTTTGGCATTTAAAATAATGTCAGACAGACAATAAAACTTGGGTGAGTTTTCTATGAATTCAGGGATGGGAAACTAAGGCAGGGACAACACCAAGAGCTCCCTGGCCTAGTTTAGAATAATACCCTTCTGGGGGTGGGGAGTTGGGGAGAGAGAGCATGAGGAGAAATGCCAGATATAGGTAATGGGGAGGAAGGCAGCAAATCACACTGCCATGTGTGTACCTGTGCAACAATCTTGCATGTTCTTCACATGTACCCAAAAACCTAAAATGCAATTAAAAAAAAAAAAGAATAATACCCTTCCTTCCCAGTTAGGGGTGTTCCCTTGAGCGATCCCTTCCACCTTTCAGAATCCTCTCAGCATTCCAGTAATGGTGCTACCCTTCAAATACGTATGAAGTTTATCTGATTTTAGCAATCATTGATGGTGGCAAACTTCGATACAATGAGAGTAAACTTGATTTTATAGATCAACCAATGAGTGATTGACTCATTGCCAAATCTGGTGGATGAAATGGGTGGGTAATTAGCCTGGGTTATGCATATCTGTTCCTATTTCGTAAGCTGTCTATGACAGTAACTAAAAGAACTATGCCTAGGAGATAACTATAAAGCCTTCCAAGGAGATAACTATAAAGAAAAATACTCATTTTTTAATGTGTAAATTAAGATAAATATGTGAAACCCTATTCTGTTACTCAACAGACACTCCGTCGTCTTCTAGGAAGTCTAAGCAATTGGTATGATCCTCATGGAAGTTAAGAGTTGTCTTTCTCTTAGAAGGAGTTGAGTATCTTGGATCAAATCCTGGAATGTAGAAGCCTGAAGGGAAGGCTCAGCTGTAGTTTTCTTTCCAATAACCTAGAGAAGGTAACAGAACCTGCCATGGTCAAGCTATAATAGTCTTCACTGATCATTGTGTAACAATCTCTTGACTGGGACTTGATTCACTTTGTGTGATCTTGATATTACTTTTCAATCTGAGCCTCAGTTTATAATCTATACAATGATAGGACTAGTCCAAATAACTTTTATAGTCCCTTCAACTGTTAAGCTATCACAGATTAAATGTGATGTCCCACATTACGTTATCTTTTATTACCTACCTTTCATTTTTTTTTAACTGTAGAGAACTTTTTAAAAGGTATTTTGGGTTTTATTAATTACACACATTCATAGTTCAAAGGAATGAAGGGTCTACAGGATTATAACAAAAACAAAACAAACACACCCCTTATCCCCCTGTCAATTACTATTCCCCAGAGGCAATCACTTTCAATTTAACTGATTTTTTATTTACCTCTGTATCTAAATAGCATGTATATTGCTGTCTTTTTTAGTTTGTTTTTCTACTGACTACCCACTTTAGAAGATGAGAATTTCACTCTTCTTAATCTCCTTGTGCCTTATCCACCCACACGTATTTCTCTACCCAAATTCCATGATATTATAATTTTGATTAGATCAAAATTCAGTGTTTTGTTATTATAACTAGTTAAATGCTATTCTCAATTGAACCATGTAGTGTACTATGATTACTTTTCCTTTGTTGCTCAACATTTCATTTTCGGGGAAAATCTTGTTGGTTTCCTTGTTATGTGATTATTTTTCTGTGTACTTGTTATTAATTCAACATTAAACTTTCTTCCTACTGTATACATCTCTCTTTATGTCCAAGTACATTATATATTCTATACATGTCATACTCTAGAAGAAATCTCTCCTGGAGCCTTCTTAGTTTCTTTAGATTGTGTTCACCTCTCTTTTTTGGTAAGGGTCTCAGTTTGCTCTTTCCAATGTCTTTGTCTTCTGTAAATCTTTTTTAGATGTAAATATTTAGTTTTATTTGAAATCTCCTTATTCTCTTTGAAGATTCTCTTAATTCCCAGTATCCTAAAATTTCACCTTGGATGTATTTTCACCTGCCATAGTGGACACTTTCATTTTATAAAATTCTGAAAAAAATTGACTGGGCATGGTGGCTCACACCTGTAATCCCAGCATTTTAGGAGGCCCAAACAGACAGATTACTTGAGGCCAGGAGTTCAAGACCAGTCTGGTCAACATGGCGAAACCCCATCTCTACCAAAAATGCAAACATTAGCTGGTCATGGTGGTGCACCCCTGTAGTCCCAGCTACTCAGGAGGCTGAGGCATGAGAATTGCTTGAACGCAGCTTTTGCCCTAGTCCCAGCAGTAACAGCTCAAGAGGTTGAGGTGGAGATTGCAGTGAGCCAAGATAGTACCATTGCACTCCAGCCTGGGTGATAGAGCAAGACTCTGTCTCAAAAAACGAAAATTCTTTAATCAATTATTTTCTTTCACTTCTTTTTCTCTATTCACTCTTGTCTTACCTGTTATTCAATTGTGGAATCTCTTGAACTGGTTCTGTAATATTCGTATCTCTAACCCTATTCTTTGCTTTTTGGTCAACTATCAAGTTTTCCTCAACTATATCTCCAAACTGTGTATTGAGTTTCTCATTTCTGCCGTCTTGCTTTTTAAATTATAATTATTTAGTACTCCAGTGGCATTTTCCAAAGTATGTTTGGTAGAAACACCAGACCTGAAAAATGCTCTACATAAAAGAATTTTACATAGCTTTAGGAAATTTAGTTACATACATTTAGGAAATGCTTATTCTCTTCCCCATGGTTGGAGATTTGGATTTTGTTATCAAGAGCTCCTTTTGTTGTTCTTTGAAATTTTTTAGTAGACTTTTATTTTTTTAGAGCGGTTTTAGATTCATAGCAAAATTGGGTGGTAGATACAGAGATTTCCCGTATAGTCGCTGCTCTCCCCACCACACGCTCTCCTCCATCAACATCCTCCACCAGAGTGGTACCTGTCTTACAATTGATGAATTTACACTGACTCATTCTTATCACCCATGTCCATAGTTTGCATTTGGGTTTACTGTTGGTGTTTTACGTTCTATGGGTTTTGACAAATGTATAAGGATATATATCCACTATCATGTATCATACAAAATAGTTTCACTGCCCAAAAACCCTCTGGTCTCTGCCTATTCATCCTTCCTCCCCATTAACCCCTAGCAACCACTAATCAAGATTTGTCTTTTCCAGAGTGTCACATAGTTGAAATCATACAGTATGCCATCTTTTCAGATTGGCTTATTTCACTTAATATTATGCATTTAAATTTATTCCATGTCTTTTCATGGCTTGATAGCTTTTATTTTTTAACCACTGAAAAATATTTCATTGTCCAGATGTTTCATAGTTTATTTATTTGCTCACCTACTTATGGGAATGTTGGTTACTTCAAAGTTTTTGCAATTATGAATAATGTGGCTGTAAATATCTGTGTGCAGGTTTTTATGTGTACATAAGGTTTCAACTCCTTTGGATAAATACCAAGGAGCACAACTGCTGGTTTGAATACTAAGAATATGGGTTTTTTACAAGAAACCAAAGGGGCTTCAAGATGGCTGTCTAGGGCTGGGCACAGTGGCTCACGCCTGTATTCCCAGCACTTTGGGAGGCTGAGGCAGGTGAATCACTTGAGCTCGGGAGTTTGAGACCAGCCTGGGCAACATGATGAGACCCCCCTCCCCATCTCTACTAAAAATACAAGAAAAATAGCCAGCCAAGTGTGCTGATATGCGCCTGTGGTCCCAGCTACTTGGGAGGCTGAGATGGAAGGGTCGCTTGATTCCAGGGATGGGCAGGGTGGAGGTTGTAGTAACCAAAAACACACCCCACTCCAGCCTAGGTGACAGAGCAAGTCTTAAAAAGATGGCTGACTAGAAGCATTTCATATGCATATGCTCACCTCCTCCACTTAGAAGAACCAAAAGAGTGTATAGACAAATCATACTTCAGATACCTTATCCAAGATGGAACACTGGAATTCAACAGGAAAGTGACAGAAAACACTGAAAGAAAAGAAGGAGAAAGAAGAGAAGCAGCTGGCCTGTCTGGGATTGGCTAGGAGACAGCAAGTGACTTCCCAAGGGCAAGTGAGACACTTACAGCAGCCCACATCCCTACGTATGGAATCATGCATGCCTGGCAACCAGAGAGCCCCTGACCTTCCCAACCCCTGAAACTAACATAGGAAGCTGCCAGAAGACCAGGAGAGGGAACTGTTCTAGGGATTGAGCTTGCACTGTATCACACACCCTTTCTGAGCCATAAGTAGCTACAGTGATGCATCATTTTCAATCCTAGCCATTGGCAGACTATATTCTGTCCTGGGGCCTAACAGCACCAGGACTGAGGTGTTAGGAGAAATTGAGCTGTTACTGCTGGGACTAGGGCAAAAGGTGGAAATGGGCTCCCATAGGTAGGACTTACAAGTGAGGCATGGGCTACACCTGCCAGTTCTTCAATGCTAGTATCACCAGGACTGACATTGGGATGTGAACCGAGTGCAAGGTGCTGCTGGGGCTTATCTAAAATGTCATTGCCAAACCCAAGGTCATCTAGATTTTCTCCTGTGTTATCTTCTGAAAGTTTTATAGTTTGCATTTTACATTTAGGTCTATTACCCTTTTGGGGTTACTTTTTTCAAGAGTGTAGGTTCTGTGTCTAGGTTCACTTTTTTGCATGTGAATGTCCAGTTGTTCCAGAACCATTTGTTGAAAAGACTACCTTTATTTTTTATTGTATTGCCTTTACTTCCTTGTCAAAGATAAGCTGATTATATTTATGTGGGTTTATTTCTGGGCTCTCTATTCTGTTCCATTGATCTCTCTATTCTTTAGGCAGTACCACACTGTCTTAATTATGGTGCTTTACAATAAGTCTTGAAGTCAGGTAGTATCAGCCCTCCTGACTTTGTTCTGGGTCTTTTCCCTGTTCATATAAAGTTTAGACTCAGTTTGGTTTGCTGTTGTTGTGGAGACAGAGGTGCACTCTG